ATTGAATTGCCATTGCTAAGAGCATTCTCACGCAATTGACCTGAGGCTTTTTAGTGCCCTTTGGACTGCAGAGGAACTGGGAACATTTCACGTCAGCTTTATCTTGGTACGTGCGCCAGGCTGCCAGATATATAGTTTTTATTTTTGCCAATATTCGGCATTGTTCCTGTCAATATGGAGGAGTGGAGACAGTGCGGTCGCTGGTTGATAGACTGTAAGGTTTTGCCCCCCAACCATCGGGTCGTTTGGCCCTCAGCGGTGGTGTTCGACCTGGCCCAGGCGCTCAGAGATGGGGTGCTCCTGTGCCAGATGCTGCACAATCTGTCTCCTGGATCCGTGGACCTAAAGCAGATCAACTTCAGGCCTCAGATGTCACAGGTAAGTTAATGTTCATGACTGTGTTTTTAATGGCTGTATTTTAATGCTTGTCTCATATGCAGGAATGATTGATGATAGTATCGACAGCCGGAGAATGTGCAGTGTTGTTCCCATAGGTTGCCACTCTTATTGCCATTCTTGATTTTTATCAACAGGGGTCGTTGTCGAGCATTAATGGCTGCGCAATTACAAATAGAACTGTCATAATCGATCAATCGAAAGTATTATCTGAACTAAACCTTTTGATGTTTTATAGTGTCATTCTCATTGTTTAAAACCCTATTCTAGAACGTTTTAGTATAATGTTAGGGTCTCACAATCATCAAGCAGTTGAATGCAAAGCACACAGGTGTCTTTTAAACTGTCCATAGGTAATAGCACGTACGTATTTATAGCTGAACATCCTTGTATCACTGTGCATACTGCATAGAGTATGTATAAGCCTGATCATTTGAAAGTAAGTATCTGAGGCTGTGCAGGGTTTAAAGGTGAATGTTAAGGAAGGGCCAAGGCTCTTATCTCTGTAAACATAAACCAGGAAAAGCAGCAAGTTCTTCGTGGGTTTCAGGAATGTGACTCTCAGCCAGTGCTCTTTGGGAAGGAATGTGTGGCAAAGGCAGTTCCTACCCGTAAATATGACGTGGTTGAGAAGCATGATGTAGCCATTTGTAAGTGTTGACTGTTTTGAGAGGTTTTAAACACACGTCCCACTGTGTCTCCCACCCCTTCAGCATGTCTTATCAGTGTTGAATTGGGTTTCTGTCCAGAAATAATAATAATAATAACTATTAATATATTTTTTAAAATAAAATATTAAATATTACTATTGTAATATTCTCAAACTCATTTTAATAGACTCAAACTCAGATGAGTTTGCATGGAGTAGCATTTACTGTGAGTTTCTCTGAGACACTGAAAACACCCATTT